GGGGGGGGGGAGGGAATTGATTGACAGACATGACAAGAATCCCTTCCTATTTCTCACAAAAGCCTCACAGAATTACCTGCCAGCAGGAATGGCCGTCGATTGTTCCTGGCTTCCTTGTGATTCGTGACGTCTTTGGTCGCGGTCGATAGAACATCTCTCTGGCCACAAGTTCCCCCCGCCTCTAATTCAATGATTTTACACGCTCTTGAGCAGCACCGCTCACTTCCACTGTGTTATTTTCTCGGTTGGCTCCCTTGCCTCCAGCCTTGTCTTTCGCTTCCGTCTGGGAACTGTATCATTTCCTGATTTATGGGTTCCTGGCAGATAGCTCGTTTTCATTACCTCGTTCTTTATCAGAGGGGTAAGGGTGGGTGGGGTGTGTGGGTTGGCAAAGGGTTCACAGGTGATGTTGGAAATCAGGCTCAAAATAAACTGTCCTTTTTGGGAACTGTCCTTTTCAACATCCCCCATCTGTTCGTCATTACTTTTGTCTGTCAGTGCATCACTTTTGTTTGTCTGTTCGTTACTTTTTGTAGGTCTGTTCGTCACTTTTGTCCATCTGTTCGTTACTTTTGTCTGTCTGTTCGTCACTTTTGTCGGTCTGTTTGACTGTACATCTCTACGACGCCCCTTAGCTCATATAGGAGGCAGGCTGCCTCGACTCTGACCACCAGTAGGAGTTTAGTAGGGTGTCAGAACTATCCGCTAACCGTGTGAAACATCTCCCCAGATCCACGAGTACATGGAGCAGCTCCCCAACCACAAGGTTCCTCGTGTGGACACCCCGGGCGAGAGGTACAGAGACATACAGCTGATTAGGTGAGTGACCCCCCCCCCAGACATACACACATATATACAGTCATATATACATGTACACATGTACAGTCATGTATACATGCACACATATACAGACATGTATACATGCACACATATTATAGAAATATATACATGCACACATAATATAGACATGTATACCTATACACAAATACAGACACGCATAGATTAACCAGAAATACAGACGCGTATAGATGAACATATTATAATATAGTCATACGTATACATACACACATATATAAACAGTAATAAGTGCACTCGCTTATGATAATTATACATACACTCACTAACCCCC